ATGGAACTGTTCTTTTGGTAAAACATACAGTGTAGCATGGAAACTGTTCTTTTGGTAAAACATACAGTGTAGCATGGAAACTATTCTTCTGGTAAAACATACAGTGTAGCATGGAGACTGATATTTGTTTCTTCTCTTTTGAGTCCCCCGGTCTTCGGACTTACAACGATAAAATCAGAGGTTTGATTCCTCTCGATGGACACAGCAGACAGCTCGATGCGGCTTTGCTATAAGAAAACACACACCTATACCTCTCTTTAGAAGTAAGAGAATTATCCACGGGTGTAGAAAACACCTACTTAATATACAACTATTTGTGTGTATTATAAAAGCTAATTACTGTTTTGGAGTTGTGAACTGGATTTTGTGGTCATTATTTCTTAATCTGACAGCAAATTATGATTATGATTAATTTGATTTGAAAACTGGCGCAAACATACACGAGGGCTATCTGCGCAAGCCGTCCCTAATTTTGAGCTGAAAGACTAGTGGGAAGGTAGCTAGTCAACAGCGCTCATAGCCAACTCTTAAGCTACTCCAATCGAATAATAAGATTTGACCGTCATTTTTATAACGGTCTCACGTTCCCATAGTGCAAAGCGCGTTTTGCGGAAACGGGACGCGAACCACGGACCCACAAATTCACAGTCTGACACGTTAACTAGTAGGCCACATGCTTCGTGATTACGATGGGAATATCAACCTCACAGTTTTTTTAGACTTGACAGCATGGCTTCCACGAAGCCCCCTTATCTAGTAAAGCACAAAATATTAGTCAAATTTTAGTTTTGTGAACGAGAATTCCTTAAAACTGCAAGAGTATTGTCAAATTAGCCTAGTTAAGAAATTCTGTTATAATTAATTTTGATTAGATAGTGCAAAAAAAATAATTAATTGAGAAACTAAGTACTGTCATTGTCAATGTCGTCTATATATGATACAAATATCTCTTTATCCTAACCTTACATACTCCACAGTAAGTCTAAGCCAAAGATTTATAACTATACATGTTATATTTAACTTTAGTTAAATCCTATGCTAATTTTTCTTAAATCATTTTTTCCGTAGAAAAAACTGATCATTAAATTCCTAAAATAAAATAAAGTAGCACGAGAGGTCTTATACTGGTTATGCTATGGGTCTGTGGACATTAGATCTAGCTTTCCACATACTAAATAAGATACAACTTTATATGTATTTATGTAATTTACAGTAATGAATTTAAATAATTCACCACGAACTTTAGTTACTTATACAATTAGATAAATTTAATACATAATATTAAAGTCCTTAAATTAACAATAACAATATTGGCCATATGTGATAGGCATGGTACATAAAGCTTTACACGTGATAATCCTTCTTCGATGCTTAGTGATTGTTAAGCAGGCCCAATCTTGTCAGGTGTCCTTGGGATAATGGCCGAAAACACTGCTAACAGAATGTAAACCGAACTAATGATCCAGGACAGAGTAACCATAAAATATTTTTGGAGTTTTCCTGTAACTCGTAATTAAGACTAATTGTTAGTCATTTTAATTTTTATTGACTAATGTATTAACAACTCTTTTGGTAGAAGTTATTGCATAAATGTATGACAGATAATACAACTAAGAAGTTTTTTTTTTTTTTACAGATTGAAGCATTAAAACGCCAGCTGTTATGGGCTATTACGAGCTCTCTGAGCAATTAAATAGGTTTTAAGGTTAACCTTTTTAAAAACAGCACAAATAAAAGTTGGATGAAAGAGGCCACGTGAAAGTGTGTAAACCTGTTGGTCAGTAATAGTGGCTCCAAATATCATTTCAGATTACTTTTACCTACTATAAGGTTTACTACTAAGTTCGCAGGGAAACCTTCATTAGGCATGTACATTAGTTTTACTTCATTAATTTTATTTATATATTTTGCCTACTGCGGACTGAAAAATGACAGAATCTTAAGCTTATCATAAGGCTTGTTTGTGAGAGTAGTTTGGTTTGGTTTATTTTGGATATTCCTGCAAAGCTACAGAAGTGCCATCTACTTTACCGTTTCAAATTTTCAACTAATAGTATAGTGAGAAGGCAGTTAGTCAATAATACCTACTGCCAACACTTGGGCTACTCTAATCGCGAAGTGGAAGTTTAACCCCATTCTTATAACACAACAAAGTGCGGAGCGTGATTTTTTATTTTGTGAGGCAACTGAACGCGAACCATAGACCCTCGGATACACAGCCCGGTCAAGTAACCACTGGATCAAGTCCAGTCAACGTTGGATTAAGCGTCCAACAATGTTAATTCTAATAAAGATGTGATCAATTTCTAAGAACAAATATTTAATTAACGACCAATATGAATAACACAGGGTCATATTTATTCACGATACTATGAATAACAGAGGGACAATATTAATTCACGATACTATGAATAACACAGGGTCATATTTATTCACGATACTATGAATACACAGGGTCATATTTATTCACGATATTATGAATAACACACGGTCATATTTATTCACGATACTATGAATAACACACGGTCATATTAATTCACGATATTATGAATACACAGGGTCATATTAATTCACGATACTATGAATAACACACGGTCATATTTATTCACGATACTATGAATAACACAGAGTCATATTTATTCACGATACTATGAATAACACAGAGTCATATTTATTCACGATACTATGAATACACAGGGTCATATTAATTCACGATACTATGAATAACACACGGTCATATTTATTCACGATACTATGAATAACACAGAGTCATATTTATTCACGATACTATGAATACACAGGGTCATATTTATTCACGATACTATGAATACACAGGGTCATATTAATTCACGATAGTTGAGCGATGATCTCAATGGTAATTTTTAATCATTTCTTTGAACTCAGTCAACATTTTTTGCCATCTCTTCAGCTTTAACTTGATAAAATTAAATTTTTATGTAATCATATGATGAGATATCAACAAAAAATAATCCATTGAAACAATGAACGTTGATATTACACACTTTCAGTCATTTAAGGACATAGCCAGTTTCACACTACATCAGTTGAATGGCCTCGGTAATATATATCTGTGGTGTATCTTTTTTTTCCTCATTATTGTACACAGGTTTTGACATGCTTCTTACCATACGTCATCGACTAACATGTTGCAAACATCTTTCAACCCGATGCTAGAAAAACTACCTATCTTCAAACCGATTAAAGTTCAACGTAATGCCGTATCAGCTGGATCACCACACTGGCATTTAATCCTCAGTTAATCCCATATCGATGTGATGAAAGCTATGAAGCAGCTGCGTTCGAGAGTAACGAAGGTGATCGACCAGTAAGAACGTTAGGAACTGATATTTCCAAAGGTCTGTTAAACGGCAGCTGCTCTCGGTACCAGTATCCAGCCGAGCTACCTGCGGAGGTAACAAGAGCTATGAAAATTTTTCACGGATAGGGAAGTACAACTCGAGCTCGAGCTGATCCTATCAAACCATGGCTATTGTCACGTCCTGTTGTTGTGGCCAGTCGTTGAGGAACGGTAGTTTTGCTGCGGGGATTTATAGCTTGGTAAGTTAATTAATATTCACGCATAAGATGCGTTATCATAAACTTAAAAAAAAATAAAACATGGATACGATAGAGTAACAAAACCGATGAAGGTGTTAGGTTCTTCTTTTCGTGTTAAGTCAAAATTTATAGTAGGAATATATTACAGTTAATCTGAATCCAAAGACTTATCATTACACAATCTCTACTAGCATACGAGTCACACACACGAAAATTATAAAGCAAAAATACCACCAGTATTACAAATTAATCCCAATAATTATTAATTTTACATTAAAAATGAATGATTTCATCAAACTTATGTGTGGTCAGTTACTTACACTGATCGTTGTGCCAGGCAAAAATATCAAATGATTCAACCTGGGTTACACAAAATTCTGCAAGTGCAGTACAAGATATTAATATTAACTTCTGATGTAGAAACCACCCTCATGCATAAAAACTAAAAACATATACCCAGCCTAAATATAGCTAATTAAATATAATTTTAACTGTATTACTTATAATGATTAGAATGCTCTGTTTCATTAGCTGGGTACCGTAGTCATATCCCACGGAGTTCGTCCAGCCCAGGAGGCTCAGGTTAATTCTAAATCTATATATTAACAATACAAAATAATCACTAACTATAAAAGGCTTATAGTCCAGTCAGTCTACATTTCAACATCACACTAATTGCAACAGAAGTTTTTTTTGCATGAATAATGTAAAACTTTCATGAACAGCATATCAAAAGGCTAGAAAAATCTAAGTAGGGGAAATTACAAAAAAAAGTTTTTAAAAAATAAATTATGCCATTTTATAAGTGGCACATATAAGCCACCGTATAATATATGCTTTTCTCAGAAATTTGTTAGTGAGAAGAAAATAAACTGGACATGGTAAGTTTCGTGCATTGTATTGTTTATTATATGTGTAAAACGTATATTCTAGCTGATTTATAATTCTAAAACGTCCGTAAATTATTCAAACAGACGATGAATAAGATTGTGTCATGCGTTTTTTCGGCGGCAGATAGGCCTTGTGAGCTTTACCCTAAATAAAAAAATACAAAATACAATGCGTTTTCGCGGATGGCAAACATGTAAAAATAATGCGTATTTATATGTATAAAGAGACGGAAAGTTATTGTTTTTGATAAATAACGATACATTTGTAATATAAGCTTCATTATAATGCCTTACAAAAGAAATAACAAAAGAAAAAGAAGAAAATCAGTGGCGTGACTTGATTGATTTTCACAACTACGAAAGCCCATTCGTGCTATAATTTGGAAAAAATCATAACAATTACAAAACAAAATATAGAACAACAGCACGTTGGTATTATTCCTGTGTGTCCTTAAGTTTAACAATATATTATATGAATTAAATGAACTAGAAGATGGCAATCTGCGCAAAGTTGTATTGAGATGATGAGTTATCTTGGATGCATCGTCATCTGATGCAGGGATCTAGTCTTAGCGAGCTATTGGAAACTGTGTACACTTCAAATGCTGTGGTTCACATAATGAGTGGGAAAGCAATCGCAAGAACTATCCGAGGACATTTTCTAGTTGATAATGTTCTTAATTGAATGATTGTGTCAGATTTATTTGGTGTGTCGCTCCCTTTAAATCCTTCTAGAGATGAGGCAGAAAATTAGCATAGAGACTTATCTATTGATGACAACGTTCTGGTTGGGCAAGACAGTGACAATGAAAACACCTTTGAAAATGCAGTGTTTGAGAATGAAAACGATACTATTGAAATCGGTAAAATGTACGGTGGCTTTATCTCGGGAAAGATTGAAGTTCAGTCTATTTCTGAAATTGGTCTACTTGACAAAATCCAGAAGTAAGTCTCTGAATACAAACACAGTCTGAAACAATATAAACAGCAGCTCTTTGGATTAAGTATATGGAGATGATACATATCTTACAAACATTTATAAAAGCAGAGCGGACAAGTAATTGGGATCTTCATCAGAAAACGCTAACACAGATACTTCCTTATTTTGCATCTGCTGGACATACTTTATATCTGAAATCAGCGTATGTGTATTTGTAACTGATGGGAAAGCTTGAGATAACCAACAACGAGGTATATCAATATTTCACATCTATACATCATGTTATACGTAGAACTGACAGGTATTGGGCTGGATTGTCAACGGATCTTATTATCGAGCAAGTCTTAATGAGAAGCGTGAAGACAAATGGAAGCATGACTAGAAGAAAGGGTATGACAGAAACACAACGAGCTCAGTGGTGACTCTCATTGCCCTCGTGTGCAGAGGTAACTAACGCTATGCAGGATTTCAGTGGAACTGTTGATTACACAAGTATTCAATACAAAGAGTGTGGCCAAGCCAGGAAGGACAGGGACTACAAAGACACAAACGTACTCCTATCTTTTCTACTAGAAAGAAATCCATTTATCCAAGACCTCTCATTATGCAATATTGAAACCGGTGTGGCGTCTGATTCATCTGTAAATGTTTACAACGCAAAAGAAATCGGATGGGAAGTCTTACAAAAAATGGTTGGTAAAAATGTGATGGAGTATTCTTTTAAGAGATCCCAGCAAGCAGTGACACTTACTACAAAGCCTGTAGTAAAATTAGATGGCGAGTCAATTCAGGTTGACCCACAGCTACTTTTTCAACGTCATACAACGGCTGCAACTAGATCGAAAGAAGACATGTCACACATATTTGGATATAAACTTTGTAGTATTCCATCTGCACTGTTTGATCCATCAGGTTTTTCCAATGCAACCACAAAAAACCAGCATTAGTTGATACGATTTGGGCTTTAGGAGACTGTGGAAGACAGGAGTCTATTACTGAGAATGTTCAACATGTATTAGATAGAGGATCATTATTACAGCGAATGCCATGGCAACAAGGCACAGATTTCGCAGATATCTGTAATGTGTACGTAGATTATATATCTAAAAAGTATGTGGATCCGGTAATTGTGTTTGATGGCTACCAGTCAGGACCATCAACAAAGGATGTAGCCCATATGCGGCGAACGCATGGAGTTTTTGGTTCGAATGTTAACTTCAAAGACAATACACCATTCAAAGGAAAAAAGAACACTTCTTAATGGAAAGTTGTATATGCTGAAGACGATGCGGGTCTTTTAATAGTCAAGACTGCAGATGCTTGTGCAGAAACTCGTGAAACAATGATGATCGGTGAAGACACGGATCTTCTCATATTGCTATGCTATCACGCTAATACTCAGAACTGTAATATCTTTTTCAACTCAGAAGGGAAACAGACTACGTACAAAGCGGTGAGAATTTGGGACATTCGACAAACGAAGATGATACTTGGAGCAAATACCTGTCGCTATATGCCGTTCGTTCATGCTCTGACGGGTTGCGACACAACATCTCGCATTTATGGGATTGGAAAAGGGGCAGCACTTAAAAACTAGGACATGACCAACATTTAAGGGAGAGTGCAGAAGTGTTTTGCAATCAGGGTAAAACAAGAGATGAAATAGAAAAAGCCGGAGAACAAGCACTTATATGTCTGTATGGCGGAGATCCAATTGATGGATTAGATTTATTGCGCTTCATACATTTTGCACGAAAAGTAGTTTCAAGCACAACACGCGTACAGGTACATACACTTCCTCCTGCAGCCGCACAATATCACAGCATGAGGGTCTATTTTCAAGTACAAACATGGATCGACTCAAATGACAAAATGTTACCACAAGAGTGGGGATGGTCAGTTGCAGACAACAGCTTATTACCAGTTAAGACACCAGCTCCAGAAAGCCTATTAAAAATTATCAAATGCAACTGTAAAGCGAATTGTGACTCTAAACCTTGTACATGTAGGAAGCATGGACTTGAGTGTTCTATAGGCTGTGGAGAATGTAGGGATGTTAACTGAACAAATGTAACACAATTGACAGAATCTGACATAAATGAAGATACATAGAAGATACAATATAAAGAGGACAATGTGCCAGCTTTAAGACAGGATCGTCCGGTTGTAAATGAAATATATAACGAATTTAATCCTATTTTAAAATCAATGTGCGATATATTTTAAAAACGCCGCAAAGTCAACATAACAGGTTCTGGTTTGTGTATTAATTCAAGTAATACAAGGTTGGTGAATAGATATATCAAATGTTTATAAAAAGATGAGTGTGTTAGTTCTCATTTTGTATACTCATTTTCTAGATGTGACTGTCATTTAAAAGAATATTGTTATAGATTTTCTTTTGATGGGTGGGGTAATATATATATAAGTTAAAGAGGTAAACAATCATTAATTGGGGTTTCAGTTAAAACACATTTAATTGGGTTCATCTTATTAACTATTATATATTATCTATTTGTGCATTTTTATTCATATATCAACTGAAAGAGTATATAATGAGAGTATATGATTGCATATATCAAATCAAGTTGTTCTATTTTCATCAGATATGTTAATAAGGAAAATGAACATTTTATACATTTTCCCCTTTTAGATTTTTCTAGACTTTCTTGTGTAACTTCTCAATACATGTCTCTAACAATAAATCCAAGCACTGTTTCTGTTGCAATTTGTATGATGTTGAGGTATGTTTTTGCATAGGCTGACTGGACTATCATTCCCATTATCACTCTGTCGAGAACGCTTTCACGCTCCTTTTTTGGTAATGGTCAACAATATACATCGTCGCTTAGCAACAAAACTATCATCTGATTGTTTTTAGGCCATCTATTGAATGCTCAATATTTATGTTGATTTGTTAGAGTGGTTTGTTTTTTATTCTTTATTTTTTGATAACTTCGGTAATATAACAGCAAAATATTTTATGACATTTAATCATAAAAGCCAAAAGCAAAGCAAAATAAAATTTACCAGGTACTGTTTCAGCTAACGCTATGTTTATGTATTAGGCCTTATGCTTAAATTAGACTACAAATAGGCTTACTATTACTAACCTATCCTATTCCTTGGCAGGTGTTTCGATTTTAAACCATTTGACCACAAGCTAAAAA